GTCATGTGCATCCGTACAGAGGCCTGACGCTCGCTTTTGACACTGACGTTGCCCGCGGTTCCCACGGAGGCTGTAGAGGCCGAGCCACGCAGATGGGCGCTTGAGCACTGTTACCTTTATTTCACTTCTCTGCACGTCATCAAGCCTCACTGTGCTATGAAGTCCTAGCATTTCTGTCTTTCTTTTTTTTTTTTTTTTTTCTTTTTGAGACAGGGTCTCTCTACACAGCCCAAGCTGGTCTCGAACTCACATGGATCCTCCTGCCTCAGCCTCCCAGGTGCTGGGATTATAAGTGTGCACCTCCATGCCTGGACAGCAATTCTTTACTATGAAAGGGGTTATGAAGTATAATTTCTATCTTTGAGAAAAGCTTTCTTTTTTTGCTAATATTCACAACTTCCTCCAGACTTCTCTAAAATGGAGTGTCAGTATGTACTTTGTGTTCTTGGACACTGACACATAATATCCATGATAATCAAAGATGATTAGATCAGATAATGATTAACCAAGTGACAGAAATGCCCCACAGAGACACTTCAACAAAAATTTCATTTTCCTGTGCAAAGAAGAGTCTGGAAATAATCAGTGCAAGGCCAGAGCAGGGGCTCCACAGGGATCCCAGAGACCGGGCTCCCTCTTCCTTCTTGGCAGTACTCAGACCTGGGTTCCTGCCTCAAAATCACATGGTCATTGCCGCAACTCCAGCCATCCCAGACTGAAGCCCTCGTTACAGTTACAGGTACAGAAATGGTGTCAGTGGCTTCCAGTCTTCCCTACTGTCTAGCAGTGTTGGTGACAGTGGACAGAGGGAGAAATTGCCCTTGGGAAGCGAGAGACCAGTGTGAGATTCCCGAGGGTCAGCTTCTGGATTGTGAAGGTTGGGGAAATGTGCCTTCTCCTGGTTAATCGAATGAAGAAGTTTTGGTTCATTTTGAATCAAATATTTCCTGTGACCTGACATGCTATTCAGTCAGAAAAGGAAAATCAGGCACACCATAGGTGCCAAATAAAAATTACTAAATCAGAAACCATTATGTGCTTTTCTTACTAATCCAGGATACCTTTGCCACTAATGTACCTGACTGAAGTCATCCGATGAAGAATGTCATCTCTTCTTTATAGTTTCATGTTGTCACTTTAAAACATGACAGCAACATTTGCTAAGCGTCTGTGTTAACACAGTAATTCGTAGTCGACTGATACAATATATGCAAATATTTAGTGAGACATTTTCCCAGTTTGATTGTAGAATAACACAGATGTACAGAAAGGTGCATATAGCATTGTAAGATAAGCTAAGTGAAGAGGCAGATCTTTCTCAGAGACCTCTGTGTGCGACCCCCCAAAGCACCCCAGTTAGTATTTTCATAGTCACTTTTGCTGGTTGACTTTCTACGCTTACTCAAATGTGTCTGCCTGGATGCCATAAGTTAGTCTTGCCCGTTAAGATTCTGATGGGTCTTTTCAGTCTCTTTTAATATTATAGATTCCTCCTCCATTCTTCTCTGTCTCTCATCATTTATCTAGGGAAGGTCCCCAGATATTTGACCCATCTGAGTGGAATTTTCGATGGTCAGGATTCGGCTAATTATATGCTCAGGATGATGTATCTCTATTTTTTCCTGTGTGTACCATGCACATTGGTTATAGCATCCAGAGAATAAGACTCGTGCTTAGATGAAAGATTTTTTCCCCTCCATCAGGAGGTGTATAAGTATTTATTATCAGCTGTTGACAGTTAACTGGGCATTTAAAATGGTGATTTCTGATTTGATCATTTCTTTTTCACTTATTATTTGGGATGCTTTTTCTAAAGGATTCTCCCTCTATCTGATACCATTTTAATATTTGTAACAATGACAAAATCATCGAATGATATATATCTCAGGATGTGTCCTTGTTAGTAAGCTGCTCATGATTGTATTTGTATGCATGTACATACATGTACACACACACACACACACACACATACCCTGAGTGTGTCACTGTCATCAACTACAGTCACAGGTTCTTCTAGTGAATTCATTCAGTCTAAGGATGACCTTAAGGACTCTTGACAGACCTGTATTCTGGGATAACTTCATAGAAAATAGAATATCCTATTATCAGAACAATATAGTAGAGTACCTAGACTATTTATTCTACCTGTAGGGAAACTTTAAAATGACAAAAGACAAGAATGAACTTTATTATTTATTTTTGTTGGTATAAGGAGTCAAACTCATGACCTCATGCTTGCCAGGCAGATAGATGCTTATGCCGCTGAGCCAAATCCCTGGCCAAAGAATAAGGTTTGGACAAATAAAAGTTGAAAATTTTATTGGGAAATTTAAGAGTTGAATAGAGAGAGATATGACTTAGAAAAATATCAATTCTTCCGTATAATTAGCATCTTTTATACATAAGTCTGATTAAACCATGATTTTAAAAAACTTGATAATCTGATCAAATAGCCCATTTGGGGGAAGACAATTCTGAATAGTGTCTTACTTGCACATGCTAAAAGTTAGTTTTTAAAAGCTAGAGTAATTAAAATATTATGATGCATATTGAACCAGGAATAGGTAGATATAACTACAAAAACTAGACACTATGCTAATAAATGATGTGAAATCCTAGAAAGTTTCTGTAGTTTGCTTATTAGCTTGGTCACGATTTAGAATTATGAAAAACATTAGCTCTGGTGGAGATCCCATAAGTGAAGACTCATATCACTAGTGGAAGTATAGATTGATGCAATCTTTTTGGAAGCCAATTTGGAAATTCCTGCTAATGTATGTTTCACCAAGGATCTTGATTACTTTTCTATCACTGCTGAGACAAAATACCTGGAGCCCAAAATTAGGAGCATCAGGTATTTTTTTTAAAATTTAGCTTACAGCTTTTATTTAGCTCGCAGTTTGTGGAGGTTTCAGTCCATACTCAGCTGGCTCCAAGGCAGGGTGGTGTGGCACCGGGGCAACACATCAGGGCAGCAGCCAGAGTAAAAAGAGGGAAACCAAGTCTCTTCTCCTCCCTTACATTGTATACTGGCCATCCCCCACTTCCAGGGTGGTGCGGAACCCCCAGAATCTCCCTGCCCTCCTCTTGCACAGGATGAGGATATTTACAAAGTAAGGATCCTGGCTTCCTGGTAAGTCTCTCAGTTAAACTTTTACATTCCTCAAGTTGACACAATGTATCAACCATAACACCAAGTAATTACATATCTAGAAATACTTTCTAAGGGAATAATCAGAAAATGTGCCAAGAGGAAAGATTGTAAACTGTTTAAATGAATCTCAGCAGGGAATTTGTTAAATATATTGTGGTACAGTCATACTCTGTGGTCACTAAGAATGACGTAGATATATATTTGTTTCCATGGAAAGATTTTGAAAATATATTTTAAAATGAAAAATACAAAACCATTGTAGGATATGTTTAAAAAACATGCACACTTATTTGTGTGTATGCGTATGCATCTCAAAGACAATATACTAAAGTATCAGTAGTATGATTAGTGGGTAGTAATAACAGGTAACTAAAATACATGTTATCTGCATTCTGATTTTTGTATACATTTGATTTAATTTTCAATTATACCTTAATAAAACTGTGTTTTAGTATTTTTTATAATCAGTTTGCAAGTGCTCATTTTTTAAAAATCAGAAAGGCAGATATAAAGATATAAGGCAAGGAAAATTATCCATGGTCCCACAATTCTCCTCTTTCAAGTCTCTGTGCATTCTGATTTTGTATATTAAATCTTTTTATAGAAAAATAAGGACTAAAAGTAATCATCAGCACTTCAGGTGAGAATGCATTAGGAAACATGCTTCGTTGCAAGAATAGCTGTTAAAAATTTATTTACGGCTTATCTGGTTTATTTTATTCCTGGTCTTCCCGTACGATTCCTGCTGATTCCACAGCTCCACAGTGAGACTTCTTCCTGCTGCGTGTGCTGAGCTGTTTCCTTGATTTCGTGTCACTTCTTTGTCCATGACAGGCAGTTTCCCTTTAGTTCTACTCGTGCCTGATGACCGGCTTCTGGAGATTTTGTCTGAATATGCTCCGATCTCGAGAGGAGCTAGGAATGGCCATGACTTATACAAACTGAAGAAAGGTGTATCTTGTCTCCAAACTGGGTTGCACTGGCGGTTAGGACTCTGGCTCTGTGGACCAGGGAGGCCTGAGGGGAGTGTCGGGGCTGTGTTGGGTTAGGGCAGCTGTACCCTGGGAGGATGAAGAGGCCTAAGTTCCTCTTCCCGAGATGCAGCGTGTCAGCGAGGTTGTGAGAGTCTTGCTGAGAATTCAGTTTGCTTTTTGACTCCCTTCACCCTTCCTGAGGGGTAGCCAAGACATCCACATATCAGGAGTTTGTGCCAGGCGAGCTCCAGCCCATCGGACTTCCTGTTCAGCCAGACTATGGGGCTCCAGGCAGCAGCACACCCACGGCTGCATGGCGGCTGAGGCTGCAGGAGCAGTGCTGCTCCAGCCGGCCTTCCCGGCCTTGGTTATGGGGGTGAGTGCTCCCGGAGGCTCCCTATAGACGAGGGACATCAGGGTGGCATGCTCAAGACGTCATGGCTGGGCTTGGCTCTCAGCTGGCATCCTGCAACCCCAGGAATACACCCTAACCCTAACCCTAACCCTAACTCTAACTTAGAATGACACCATGCTTACCCGTGTGTCTAAGCCCTGGCTGGCGGTGTCTCTGAGAGGCCCTGCCATGAAGTCTTGGTCCTCCTGCTTCTCTGCTCCTTGCATGACTACTTTTTTCTTGTGCGATTCTGCTTTGTTCCTGAGAATCTGTAGAATTTGACGAATCGTCCAAGCTCAAAGGAGAAAAGCTGATTGACCCTCTCTTCCATTCTTTTTCTAAGATGCCACTAGGGAGGTTGCCTGGCTTGTATAAGTCTTAGTAGTTGTTGTTTGATAGGAAGTAGCTATTTTATTTTTTTAAAAAACTATTTTATTCTGAACTAAAACTGCTGACTTGTTATGCCTGTGGTTCTAAGGACACAGCCCTCCAGCGATGCCACTGAATGTTTTCATTAAGTGGGAGGTGCGAGGAGAGGAGGCAAGAATGCGGAGACCGCTTCGGAGAGGATTTTGAACAGTAGTCCTCCAGCTGAGGACCCTGCTCCACTGGGTGCAGTGCTCCCCTTTCCACGCCGTCAGACTCGGCGCTGGGAGGGCCGCTTCAGCCCTGGCATGAAGCCGCCAGTTTTTCCACTCTCTCTCCCAGAAAAGATCAGGAAGTGCAAGAAGGTTCATGAAAACTTAAGCTTGAAGTTTAGCAAACTCAAAACAACCCAAAGCCTCAAACGTTGGGTTTGGTTTGAATCTTGGACAAAGGTTTGCTCTGCAGCTCCTGGCGCCAGTCCCACTTGGGGGCTGGAGCAACTTTGCTTCGGGGCTGGTGACGGGGAAATTGTGCAACTAGAACTTGGATCTCATTTTCACAAAACCAAGAAACAAAAACACTGACAGGGGAATCTGCACGGGAAGGGGCCGCCTAACCCCGACCGCTGCTGTTTCACTGTGGCAGCTCCTCTCACCATGGGAATTAGAAGACCGCCTTTCCTGCTGCAGCCCGCATCCAGTTTACAAGCCGCACCCTCTCCTGCCACAGTGCAGAAGGTGATCAAATCCAAGAGCTGAGGCCCCTCAGACTGACCTCCCGTGTGGTCAGCTGGCATTTCCAGAGCCAGCCCAGGACAGTACGGGTCGCCCCTTACCCAGCCAACTTCAGAAACAAATTTTCTGCTTCAAAGACAGCCCAGTAATTTAGGTCCTGTCGCCCTTGGATGCAATTTCTTTGTTCCACGGATAAAACTTCAGCCTAATGACTGTTTATTGAGCAGCTTCATTATATCAGCACAGAGGAATATATTTCAAGCAGAGGCACACAACATTAAAAACATCCTCAAAGATCTTATAGGTCAGCAATAAACAACAATGGAGACATCTTAGAACAACAAAAGCAAAAAAGCATTCGCTTGGAAATAATTTCAAATACTTCAGTTGATTTCTAAATAAGCCCAATAGAGAATCTCATCTCTTATACAACTGATCACTTATCAAGTATTGCAGAGCAGAATGACACCTTGCAAGCAGGCAGTCGTGAGTTTGATCCCCGGTACCGATAAAAAGGAAAAAGACAAAAAAAAAAAAAAAAAAATAGACGCCTGCTGAAGCAGCAAAGCATGAAAACTCAAAGAATTTTAGCTCGGTGAGCACCAGTCATCCCTGCACGCAGGAGGCTGAGGCAGGAGGATCGCCCACGTTTGAGGCAGCAGAGTGAGTCCAGACATAGTGAGACACTGTCTCACAGGAAGATGAAGAAACACTGAAAGACTGGAGACTGATTTGGGGTCTCAGAGCATGCAGAGATCCTGAGAACTTAAGTGAGGTCGGTTCACCTGGAAACTGATTTGCCAGATGTTAGAAATGAATACACTGACAAATTTCCAGTTAGTACACAGCGTAAGTATTGTCCCAAAGGCTCTATATTCTTCTCAGTTTAGCTGGTTCTTTTAACTGTGACTGTGATTACTGATTTTAATCTGACTGCTCCAAACATATGCCACCTTCCTAAGTAACTGCTTCTCTCATGTGGAATCATGTTACAGTGAAATTGAACTACTTCACATGAAATACGAGTCACAAGCCAATGAAATGTGGCTGATGATATTTGCTGTAGCTTGAAATTTCCCCCTTTGTTTATTTATCTTTTTGAGACAGGGTCTTGCCATGTAGTTCAGGCTGGACTTGCACTCACTATGAGCCCCGATTGATGTCAGACTAATGGTGCTCGTCCTGCCTCAGCCTCCTGAGTGAGATCACAGGTGTGAGCCAACATGCCTGGCCTTTTATGGTATTTCTTTACAAATAAAATATTTCTGAAATATTATGCTCTGAACTATAGGAAGCAACTGTATTTCTTAGAACATAAATATATCTAACCAATTTTTTTAAATTGGAATTTTTTTCTTCTTTTTTCCTCCTTTTTTTCCTCTCCCTCTTCCTCTTCCTCTTCCTCCCCATCTTTCTCTTCCTCCTCCTCCTCCTCCTCCTCCTTCTCCTCCTTCTCCTTCTTCTTCTTGTCTTTTTGAGAGAGTTTCACTACTGCGGTTCAAACAGGTCTTTAACTCAGTTTGTAGCCCAGGCTGGCCTCAAACTTGCAGCAATCCTCCTGCCTCAGCTTGTCAACTGCTAGGATTACAGGGGTGCACCAGCATGCCCAGGAAAACTGGAGATTTTTTAGGACTGTTTTTTGAATGATGCAGTAATGACTAGCTAACTGTGGAACTATAGAAATATAATGATCTTTAATAACTTGAAGTTACAAAGCTTGATTCTGAGTATTTATCTGTGCTGTCAATGAGTAATCAACAAACACCACGTAGAGTTCTGTACTTAGGAGAGAAGCAGTCGGTGAAGCAACGACATAGACCTAAGTGTTGCTGCGTCCTAGTAAGTTAAGGAGCTCAGTGCTGCAAGAGGGAGAGGCCCGGGTCTTCCTGCAGGGCACGAGACCCTCTGGGCCTTCAGTGTGTGTGTGCATTTAGGGAGGGGGAACAGCGTGTTTTGGGGTGTGGAGTTGATGCAGGAATAAGGGGACCTTTGTTGGGTAAGTGATGGGAACTACAGCTTGAAATGTGGGTCAAACCGGATTTTGGACAGCAAAACCAAGGGGTCTGGGCTTTGCTGCATGGGTCCAAAGGCCTGGCTAAGTTTCTAGGATGTTACTGAGTAATAAAAACTGGGGTGGGGAATTACATACGAGTAACAGTTGCAGCTGAGGTCACCGAGGTCCCCAGTGGGCTCAGAAATGTTGGAAATGCGAGAGAACCTGAGATGCCAGCAGCGAGGGGGCGCTCACAACAGAGAAGGAGACAGGAAAGGCAGCTGGAGGACAGCAAGAGAACCGGGAAGGATCCCAGTGGCTTTGGTGACCACTGGCCGTGTCTTGTGTTCCCCGGAGGCCGTGCAGACAGGATCTGGAAAAGCCACTGACTGGGCTCCCCGCGGGCAGAGCCACACTCTGGGGAACCAGGGCCAGGGGCGGTGAGAGGTGAAGCAGCCTGGTGTGCAGCTGCTCTGGGAGAGGGGGCAGCGAGGCGCACCGGGGCCTGTCCCGGGTCTGTGTCTGTGTCTGTGCCACCGCCTTCTGGAACCGTCGCTCACGGGCAGACCTTGCTCCTGACTCCCACATATTAACGACTCTCTTTGGGTGGCAAAGAGGCCTTCAGCCTCTGGACTAAGCTCACGGTCCTCCGCCTCCCTCCGTCAAAGCGCGACAAACGACCCAGAAACAGATCAGCAACACCCAGCGCCTCTTCTGAGTTCTCTGTTTCACTCAGCAGCGGGCGTGACAGTGTCTGGTGACTCAGGCTAGAAGCCCTGAGTGGCGTTTGCCACCCTTGTCTCTCCTCTCTCACCAGCTCCGGTGGCCGCTTTCTCTGCAGGCCACTGCCTGCCCCAGTGGACGCTGCTGTCACCTGGTCCCTTCAATCCACAAACTGGGTCGCACCATCTTCTGTGTAACAGCGTCTGATGCTCTCCTGTCTCCTGCAGGTGACATGGTGTCACCTGTACCACTCTGTTAGGCTGCAGCCTGGGACTGCCAGGGCGGGGTGAGGGTTCACTGAGGAGCCAGCGTGGGAATCAAGTTTTTCAGGCAAAGAGCTGCATTAGAATAGACAGGGGACCAGATGGCCGATCAATCACCGGGCAGTATTGTGTGCTGTGATGGCTGATACACCATGTCTACCTGGGAAGTTTAGAAGTGTAACTGAGAGACTGAGCAGAGAGCAAGGGTCCTTACTTCTTCCTTCTTAAATTCTTCCTTCTTAAATATTCTCATCCTGTGCAAGAGGAGGACAAGGAGATTTTGTGAGTGCTGCACCACCCTTGGGTGGGCAGGGGGCTGCATATAAGGCAGGAGAAGAGGTTGCTCTCCCCATCTTTTGCTCTGGCTGCTGTCTTGAAGTATCACCCCTCAGCCCCACCCCCCTGGTCTGTGTGTTAACGCTTGATTTCCGTCCATGACGCCGTGAGAGGTGAAGGAACAGTTAGATACGGAGCCTGATGAGAGGTCTGTAGGTTATTGGGGGTGTGGCCTCAAAGGGGATGGGGGACCCCAGTCCACTTCTCTTCATCCTTGGAAATGAGCAGTATTGACTTTGCCCTGGTTACTTCCATAGACCCAAAAGCAATGGGTGTGACCAAGTATGGACTGAAACTTCCAAAAATGTGAGCTAAAATAAACCTCTTCGTGATTCATCCCACGTTGTTGTGATAGTCATGGAAAGCTGCCTGACACAGGAACTCGAGCTGAGGAATGGGTGGTCTTTTCTGTTGTTAAATATCCCAGGGTGTGGGAAGGCTTTGGGGATGGGCTTCAGGAGTCGACGGGGAAAAGTTAGGAAGTGCGGTCTACGGAGAGCCTACCCTGCTCTGAGTGGAGCTTAATGATAAACTCCGGTGAGAGCTCAGAGGGTCAGAATGCTGCCAGACGGTGCAGCAGAAGCTTTGCTGAGGAGGTTCCGACGGAATGAGCATCTGAGGCCGTCCGTGTTACACTGTGGCAAAGAATTTGGCTGCATTTTTCTGTCTGTGAGACTTTATGGGAGACTTGACGTGATTTACTGATTTATCTGGTAGTGGAGACAGCAAGGTACAAAGCACTCAGCAGTGGCACGGGTGTGACCGCCTGCTGTCGGCCGAATTTACGAAGAATCAGGAGCAAAGATGAACAAAGTAGAAAGATGTGAAAAAAATGCAGCTTGGCCAGAAAAGAAGCATGTGGAAAGGTGTGCCCACAAAGACACAATTACGAGTGCCCTTAAAAGGGAAGCCCAAACCAGAGTGCAAAGAAGGCCTCCAGAGAATCTCAGGAACCTGGAAGGCCCTGAGCTGGGCTGAGCGGAGCTGAGCTGGGCTGAGCTGAGCTGAGCTGAGCTGAGCTGTCACAGGCTCAAAGATGCAGAAACGCAAATCTGTTTCAAACACTTTGATTTGAGAGGAGAGCTCCAGGGTGCCCTGGGAAGTTTACCATTCCTTTATTATTCTGTCAAAGAAGCACCCGGAGACCACTGTGGCTGTGACTCAGGTGACCTAAGTGCAGTGCACAGTAGCCCCGGACCTTGGCACAGATTCCGAGGGCCGTGGGCTGTTGTGGCTCCACCTGGATTCAGAGGGAGCTGGTGGCCAGGCAGTGTCATCTGGGGTTGTCTCGAGGAGGTCCAGTTCCTCTTTGGTAGTCTGCTGTTCTCTTTTGGAATGGGAACTTTTCTGTTGTACCTGTCCTAGCAGTCTACCTTAGTCACTTTCTTTTTGAGTTTTGTAGGAGACTCTGGATTTCTTTTTGAATGCAAAGTTTCAGACCCTTGCCGTGAAGGACGGGATGCATTTTGCACTGTAAGATGGACATGACTTTGGGGGCCAGGCGTGCAGGTCAATGGCGTGGCTAAGTGTCTCCCAAAGACTCCTGTGCTAAAGGCTTGGCCATCTGCCCACAGGGCTGCTGGGAGGTGGTGGAGCTGTTTAGAGCGGGCTCAACAGGTCCCCGGGGCACGCCCTTGGGGACTCAGGAGGCCTCTTTTTATTCCTTTGCTACATCCTGGCTGTGGGGCAAATGATTGGCTCGGCCACCTGCTGTGGTCATGATGCGTCACCTCCCCCAGGTCCAAAACAGAGACCCAAGGACCAAGGGCCAAAGCCTCTACAATGGTGAGCCGAAATCAACCTCTCCTCTTCGTAAGTCGATTACCTCAGGCAGAGGTTGTTGCAGAAATGGAAGATGGCTAACGGCTGGAGAACATGTGTACACATGTGAAGCTCCCATCACTGCGAAGAGGAGGACGGATGGGTACAGAAATGTGCCAGAGGAGCGAAGCATACTTTCTGTCCTCATGGAAGTGGATTATTTAGTGGAGATCTCGGAGGACTGACAAATACTCTCAGTGAGCTCAGGAAAGGGACGCACAGCAGGAGGAAGGGTCGGGTCAGGTCGGGTCGGTGATATTGTTTCAGTCTCAGCCTTGCAGAGGCGAATCCTTGTGTCCTGGGAACTTCTGTCTGCCCAAGCGGGTCAATAGGAGTGAAGATATCTTGGGTCTTGGATCTTAAATGCTGGGTGGACTTGTCCTTGGCCCGTCTATCGAGGGTTTGAATCAATCTTAGTAACCGATTTATGTCCCAGCACATTATTCCTAGGAGACGCAAAGGACTAGCTCTCTGCAAAGGGTTGATCTGGTTGTAAACAGACATAGTTTAAATTTCTGGCAAGGTTGAGATGAAAGCTTTTGTGGAGTTATGCAGTTGTGGCCACGATGTGTTGTCAACTGTGGTGCTGATCATGAAGTCACCAGCTGAGCAGGGGACTGCCTCGCAGGCAGACAGGCACGCTGGCATAAACAAGGACGCCCTGCAGACTAAACTGAGCCCTGATAAGGTCTGGGCGTCATGGCAGCCGGTGGGAGCCGCGTTTGTCGCTTGGAGGAGTGTCATTAGAGTTCCTGGGCTGAACTTACCCAAGTGGCAGACTTAGATTTCTAAAGATAGGGCACCTATGTCCTTCAAAGCACTCACGAAAAATATTCTTGTTGTGTAATTCACGCTTCTGAATGATAACTATTTTCTCGTGGTGAACTCTGTTCTCTGTTTTAGTCTGAGGGTAAATAATCATAGTGAAATAAATCTGAAAGCGTCATACATGGAACAAACTTTTAGGTTTAGAGAGCACAAGAAAACTAGTAAGCCAGGAAAGTAATGTGTGTGTGTGTGTGTGTGTGTGTGTGTGTGTGTGTGTGTGTTCATAAACTTGGCATTATATTTTGTTTTGGACTGATTGTGGGATCCATTAGCAGGTTTGTTTAACGTAGCAACTCTGTCTAGATTGTGACAGAAGTTTTC